TATGCTATCGGCAGCCAGTACAATGCCTTTAGCACAAGCTGGATGTGCTCCCGAATTGAGAGTCCCATCAAAAGCCTGGCTGCAGCATTTTGCACCAGCTGCAGCTTCCGAAGTTGAGACAAGGGCAGCCCCATGTAGAGAGCATTACAGTAGTCCAATCTTGAGGTGACCATCGCATGGAACACTGTCGCCAAGTCGTTGCATTCAAGGAAGAGAACCAACTGCTTGATCAACCGGAGGTGATAAAAGGTTGATCTGGCGGTGGCTGCTACCTGGGCCTCCACTGTTAAGGAGGCATCCAGGAGCACTCCCAAACTCCTAACCTCTGGTGCTGGAACCAACAGAGCCCCATTGAAGGTCGGAAGCAGGATCCCTACCCTCGGACCGCCCCGACTCAAACACAGGACCTCTGTCTTCGTCAGATTCAATTTTAGCTCTTTAAGTGGCTGCGCAGCCAATGGGGCCCATGAACTCTCTGATTAATGAGTCCCCTAACATACTGACATCCCCTCTTTTAGAGGTTCTGAATGGAGATTTTCATCCTATACAAAGCTGAATGTGATGCAGTTCTTCTACATGCATGCTGCCATACACATTTTTTGCCAGCCAGAACCATTCAAAGTCCAGAAACGAAGAAAGAGCAGTCCTGAAGCCTCACAATTCAGTTGTGGTACAGATCTGAGACACTGCAGTTAAGTTATTCATTTCCTCTGTGAAGGCAACTGAGGCCAGGAGCAGGCAAAGATGACCTGGTCCCTCTTCAGTGCAGCAATGAACAAGCACATGGATGTCCGATGATGCATGCATAGGCACCAAGGCCCAAAGAATGGCAAGGTAAGGAAGCCCGTACTTTCCTATACTACCGTGTTTCCCCGAAAATAAGACACTGTCTTATATTTATTTTTTCTCAAGACACACTAGGGCTTATACCACAAATGCACAGAAATCCTGCTAGGGCTTATTTTTGGGGTAGGTCTTATTTTTGGGGAAACAGGGTAGCAGCGCTGACCATTCTTGGACCAATGATGTTTGAGCAGGGGTTATTTCGTAGAAAAAGAGGTGCAGGAGCTCATTAGCATACCTGCTATTAGCATAATCATTAGCATATGCCATGCCCCCTGACATCACCAGAAGTGTGTCAGAACGGGAAGCAAAAAAGGGGGGAGGCATCTTCAAAAACCTCCCCTTCCCTTCCTCAGCCGGCCTGCCGGGGCGGCAGAATCTTTCAGTTCCCACAGAATACAATGGAAAGATCGTGCCGCTGCTGATGCGCGACTCTAGAGAGAAGGGGTTTAAAATTTAAACCCCTTCTCTCTTCACTTCCCCCCCAGCCCGCTTTGGTGGGAAGCCATGCATTTAAATCCCCCCCCCCATGACATGATTGAGGTTTATAAGATTATGCATGGGAAAGAGCAAGTAGAGAAAGAGGTACTTTTCTCCCTTTCTCACAATACAAGAACTCCTTGTGGGCACTCCATGAAATTGCTGAGCGGTTGAGTTAGAACGGATAAAAGGAAGTCCTTCTTCACCCAAAGAGTGATTAACACATGGAATTCACTGCCACAGGAAGTGGTGGCAGCTACGAGCATGGACGGCTTCAAAGGGGAATTAGATAAGCATATGGAGCAGAGGTCCATCAGTGGCTATTAGCCACAAGGTATAGATAGGGGCTCTGGGGCAAGTGATGCTCTGTCTTCTTGGTGCTTTGGGGGGGGTCAACAGTGGGAGGGCTTCTAATGTCCTGGCCCCACTGGTGGACCTCCTGATGGCACCTGGTATTTCTGGCCACTGTGTGATACAGAGTGTTAGACTGGATGGGCCTTTGGCCTGATCCAACATCGGCGTCTCTTATGTTCTTAAGCTTGTTAGCGATTGGCTCCTGGGCAGCGCAGGGGTCCGTCTCTGGCTCCTGGGTGCAGGTCACCTTGCTCAGGCCTCACGAAGCCCACCGGTAGAAGCTGGTCTCCCTCTTGTATGGCTGTGCTGTAGTTTGGAGGAAGCGAGAGGCAGCAGGAGGGGTTCCTGCTAGTTGTTATTATTAGCTCCAGACTTAAGCACAGATGAGAGCTGGGCCCCTTACTTGGCAAGGGCAGCAGCCCTGGCAAGTAGATTTGGGGACACTTGCATGAGAGAGGTGACCTGCTAACCTTTTCAAGAGTCTTCCTCCCTTGGTTTAGCTGCCCCCGCGCTGCACACGAAACACGAATTGTTGGCCACTGAATGACAGAGGCCCTATGGCATTGGTGAAAGTGTGGGGGCAGCTGAAACAGCATGCCCAGTTGCAGGGGCCATATCTGTTGACCAGGGAATGCTGTATTTGACTGTGCTTGCTTATTTAAAATATTTTAAATTTTATTTGACCTGGGAAATGATTTTGAGGCAAGGCATGTTGCTGATCATGGTGGAGCCTCAGCCATGTTTAATCTAAATATTTAAATACAGGGGTGCCAAGATATTGCATAGTGGATAGCCACTGTTGCCAGGCAGTGTTTTTTCACAACTACAGAGGCAGCTTCTGTTCCTGCACATTGTGTTGATGATGGATCTTTGTGCCTGTGTGGAGCCAGGATTCGGAAACCTATAGCACTGGCTTTGTAGGTGTAGAGATACCCCTCCGCCCACCCCTCCCTCAAACTGAGCATATGCAGAGAGGAGGAGGAGCCTGCCTTCCCACTCAGTATCACCTGGGAGCACCAATTGGGGACTTCCTCCATGAGGTTTTTCTCTAAACTGGGTTTTTATGTTATATAACGTTTCCTTTGTTGATGGTGCTGAAAACTACCCTCGGATACTGCTAACCTTTCACAAAAAATGTTTGGGGTTATTTCCTTATGTTGCTGTTCCCTCAGTGATGTTGTTGAGTTTCGTGTGGCACCAAAGATTGCTCTCAAGTGCCGTCCACAGTGAGGAGAGAAACACATCTCAATGTAATTTCTGTACATCTCCCCCTTACTGATTGCGCTGAAAACCTTTTGAGCATCGTCAGTAGCAGGGGGCATAGAAGCTCTCGTAGGGTAGTTAGGTTAGTTCCACATGTTGTCTTTCCCTCAGTCATGGTACTTAGGCAGGAGTGTCCCTACAAGTGCTGTTGAACAGAAATGAACAGCCTTTTGCAGGGAAGCTGTGAATGTTAGACTCCCAGAAGCTCAACAGGAAGGTGTGCTGTAAGCGAGCTGCTTCTGTGTGGGTTACCCTCTGGAATAAGCCCATGCCTCTGAAGGCATGGCGGACCTAGGTGCCGCTGTGCCATCTGCTCCCGTCTCCTGTGCCCACAATAGAAGAACAGAAGAGAAGAGATTGGATTTATACCCCGCCCTTCACTCGGAGTCTCAGAGCGGCTTACAAACTCCTTTCCCTTCACCTCCCCACAACAGACACCCTGTGAGGTAGGCAGGGCTGAGAGAGCTCTTTCAAGAACTGTCCTTGAGAGAACAGCTCTGACAGAATTATGGCTTGCCCAAGGTCATCCAGCAGCTGCAATTGGAGGAGTGGGGAATCACACCCGGTTCTCCCAGATTAGAGTCCGCGCACTTCACCACTACACCAGACTGGCTCTCAATAGAGGCCTGAAGGACTCCTAAGAGACCTTCCTCTCTCCTGGGCCATGAGAGGCACCTGAGAGGATCATTCCTTGACCTCCACTGAGGGAAAGTACACGGAGTGAAAGAGACTCAGACACAGGGGTCATTTCCTGCCAGAGCACCCCGGGAGCAGCGCTTTGGCAGTAACAAGCCCAGGCCCCGCCCCCTCCTGAGGGGGGAGAATTAAATGCCTGGCTTCCCTGCGTGATGTTCTCTGAGTGCCCTGCAGCTGCGGGCACTCGAAGATCGCACAGGGAAGCCAGGCATGTCTGCCCGGCTCCCCTTCCTGTCTCTAGCCAGCCCAGGCTTGCTGGAGCCGGGAAGGGGATCCAGGCAGATATGCCCTCCTTTTCATAAGAACATAAGAGATGCCAATGTTGGATCAGGCCAAAGGCCCATCCAGTCCAACACTCTGTGTCACACAGTGGCCAGAAATACCAGGTGCCATCAGGAGGTCCACCAGTGGGGCCAGGGCATTAGAAGCCCTCCCACTGTTGACCCCCCCCAAAGCACCAAGAAGACAGAGCATCACTTGCCCCAGAGCCCCTATCTATACCTTGTGGCTAATAGCCACTGATGGACCTCTGCTCCATATGCTTATCTAATTCCCTTTTGAAGCCGTCCATGCTTGTAGCCGCCACCACTTCCTGTGGCAGTGAATTCCATGTGTTAATCACTCTTTGGGTGAAGAAGGACTTCCTTTTATCCGTTCTAACCCGACCGCTCTGCAGTTTCATGGAGTGCCCACGAGTTCTTGTATTGTGAGAAAGGGGGGAAAGTACCTCTTTCTCTACCTGCTCTTTCCCATGCATAATCTTATAAACCTCAATCTTGTCACCCCTCAGTCGTCTTTTCTCCAAGCTGAAGAGCCCTAAGCGCTTTAACCTTTCCTCATAGGGAAAGTGTTCCAACCCTTTTATCATTCGAGTTGCCCTTTTCTGCACTTTTTCCAAAGGTATAATATCCTTTTTAAAGTGTGGTGACCAGAACTGCACACATTATTCCAAATGAGGTCGCACCATTGATTTATATAGGGGCATTATGATATTGGCTGATCTGTTTTCAATACCCTTCCTAATAATCCCCAGCATAGCATTGGCCTTCTTTATTGCAGTCACACACTGTCTCGACATTTTCAGTGAGTTATCTACTACAACTCCAAGATCTCTCTCTTGATCAGTCTCTGCCAGTTCAGACCCCATCAATGTGTATTTATATTTAGGATTTTTGGCTCCAATATGCAACACCTTGCACTTGGCCACATTGAACCCCATTTGCCATGTTGCATGCAGGGCAATGGCAAAATCCAGTCAATGCCAGTGTGAGAGAACACAGGATCGTATGCACCCCATACGGAGACCCCTGAGAAGCTGACCATGACTGAGCACCAAGACCCCCTGCCGAATAAGGAATATCCACCTTGTCATGCAGCGTCCAGCCAACATACTTGAGATAGCCGTCAGTCAGAAAGGAGGCGCTATAGTGCTGTATCCATTGCCCCATCTCCTCAATGCAAATGGAACGGATCTCAGGTACAAGGTCCCTTAACAAAGAAAAAAGAGAGAAGGTGTTAAAGGTGCTTCTCTTGATTTCTGCTCTGCCCTGAGCCCATCCCAACTCACCGATAGCGGTGAACAAAGATTCCCTTGAAGATAGCATTCATTAAGTTCTCTAGCTCTTCCTGTTTCTCCTGGAACTAAGAGAAGACAAAGCAAGTTGGAAGAAGAGTAAAGCTTTTGACAGGGTTCCCCATGATGTTCTGATGGGTAAACTGGAGGACTGTGGACTGGACTCTAGGATAGTGAGGTGGATGGGGAACTGGTTGGAGGACCGCACTCAGAGAGTAGTTGCCGATGGCATTTCATCTGAATGGAGGGAGGTGTCCAATGGGGTACCACAGGGCTCAGTTCTAGGCCTGGTGCTTTTCAATATTTTTATCAATGATCTGGATGAGGGTGTGGAGGGGCTACTCGTTAGAACTGCAGATGACACCAAACTGGGAGGAGCAGTGAACACACCAGAAGATATAGAATTCAACAAGATCTGAACACCCTGGAAAAGTGAGGAGACGTGAACAAGATGCGATTCAACAAGGATAAGTGCCAACTTCTGCATCTGGGTAAGAAAAATGAGGGACACGCCTACTGGATGGGGGATACATTTCTGGGCAGCAGTGTGCATGAAGAAGATCTTGGGGTATGGGTGGACCAAAAGTTAAATATGAGGAGCCAGTGTGATGCAGCAACAAAAAAGGCTAATGTGATCTTGCAGTGTATCAACAGAGGCATAACATCCAAATCATAAGATGTCAGAGTCCCGCTGTACACTGCATTGGTCAGGCCACACCTGGAGTATTGTGCGCAGTTCTGGAGGCCTCCCTTCAAAAAGGATGTGGACACAATGGAGCGGGTGCAGAGGAGAGCGACAAGGATGATCAGGGGCCTGGAGACCAAGAAGCCCTGTGAGGAAAGGCTGAGGGACTTCTTGGGAATGTTCCTGTTGGCAGCAGAGGAGAGGATGCCCAGGAATGGGTTTAAATTAAGGGCGGGAAGGTACCGGCTGGATATTAGGGAAAACTTTTTTTTACAGGAAATCAGCCGCCTAGTCACCTCTCTGCGCTGTTCCAGCAGCCCTTCCAGCTTCTCCGGGGCCCGGCGATTCAGCCCCTTGGCCTGCTCGGCCTCATACTGCCGCTGACTGTTGTCTTTCTGCAGGCTGACGCTCAGAGCGACACGCACCAAGCCTGTCATCAGCTTCATGGCTAAAGAAAACATTGGCAAAAGCACAGGCCTTCCCCACCAACCTCACCGGACCATCGAAAGCCCCAATGAGGGCCACCGTCCGTCCACCCACCCACCCACCCGACACCCCCACACCAGCCACCTCCCTACCTGCCAGGGTGCTGGTGTGGCGGAAGGCGCGAACTTGGGAGTCGGACATGCCGGTCAGGAGGGCAATGAGGCTGTCCATCAGGTATTCATCATACACGACGTCATACTGGGCGTGGTGTACGAGAGTGGCCATCACCTCACAGAAGCCCCTCTGGAAACGTCGCCAGGCCGGGGTGCTCAGGGACAGCGGATACTCTGCCGAGTCCTGGGGGGGGGGAGAACGGGAGACGCAGCTGTACCTGCTGCCCTCAGCACTGCACGGAACTCAGCCGCCACAAAGGTCACCCTGCCTGCTGTCACTTGGCTCTCACCTCATCAAATGACTCTGTCAGCTGCTGGATGATCTGGGAGTTCTGGAGGCTCTTGAGCATTCCATGAGTCACCACCCCTGCCAGGGAGGCACAGAGGTCTCAGCACCAGCCCAGTTTCCCCAAACCACATTTGACAGAACTAAGCTGTTAAGTGGAAAGGTGGCAAATCAGCCGCCACAACTTGTGGACGAGAGAAGGAAGCAGCGTATACATGTTGAAATAAATAAAGCGGTGCTTGGTAGGCACAACGAGTAGGCCCAAGTCCCAGGGAATATGGGTGGCACCGGGGGACACACACACACACACACAGGACATGCCTTCCCAGAGTTTTCTCCAGCCTCTTCCTGATACTGGGAAAGTGTGCCCACTCGGTGTGATGCAGTGGTTACTGACTGACCAGAACTGGTCACTCAACTACAAAGCTCACCTTGGGCCAGTTATCTGCCAAGCCTAACCTCCCTCACAAGACTGTTGATAAAATAAAAAGGGAAGGGAGCAATACACCTCTAGAAGGGGGGGGAACTGTGATAAAAGGCCACCATGCAGGAAGAGCCATGGCTCAGTGGTACAGCCTCTGCTTGGCATGCTGATGGTCCCACATCCAATGTTCAGCATCTCCAGTTAAAAGGACCAGTAGGTGATGTGAAAGACCTCAGCCTGAGACCCAGGAAATCCGCTACCAGTTTGAATACACAATACTGACCTTGATGGACCCATGGTCTGATTCAGTACTGAAGCAATTTCATGTGTTCACCATCTATCCCTCAACTCTAACTGCACATGTTCATCCCTGAAGTTTTTTCATTCCTGAAGCCAGTTTGGTGTAGTGGTTAAGGGCGCGGACTCTAATCTGGGAGAACCGGGTTTGATTCCCCACACCTCCACTTGCACCTGGCTGGATGACTTTGGGCAAGCCATAGTTCTGTCAGAGCTGTTCTTGAAAGAGCCGTTTCTGTCAAAGCTCTCTCAGCCCCACCTACCTCACAAGGTGTTTGTTGTGGGGAGGGGAAGGGAAAGGAGTTTGTACCCCGCTCCAAGTGAAGGGCGGGGTATAAATCCTATCTCTTCTTCTAGTCCTAAACCGAGCTCTGAAAAGCTTCTTAGGCCCCTGCCACACGGCAGGGGAAAAGCCTTCTAAGGTGCGGCTTTTAAAAGCCGCGCCAACGTTGAGACGCCGCGGCGGGATCCCACGGATCCCCTGGCCGCAGCGCCTTTTCTCCCCGGCGCGATCAAACGCCGGGGAGAAAACCCAGTTCGGACGCCTAGCCGGCCGAACTGCGCATGTCGGAGCATGCGCAGTTCGGCTCCGGCCCGGGGTTGTGCCGGCGCAAGGACGTGCCGGCGATCAAACGCCCGGTTTGCCGCGGCGCGTGCATTTGAACCACCGAAGTAGGTGGTTCAGTTTGCGCCGGCTCATCCCGGGAAAGGGACAGTTCGGGTACGGAAGCCGGACGCTTCCCAGATGTTTTGGTGTGATCGCGCCGGTTTGATCCGGCACCGAACTGTCCCGCTCCCGGACCAAATCGGCGAGTGTGAATGGGACCTCTGAATAGGAAAGCTGCTGCCTCAAATCTGAAGGATAATGTTGCAACCGAGTGGAGACTGCAAACATGGAGAGGAAAAGAACAGAGCAGGTGGCAGCAAGCAATCATGAACCTGCTGCACTCAAGACTCACCTCTGCAGCCACATGACTGGACAAGGAAGTTGATCAGTTCCAAGAAACCCAACTCCCGGTCCTCCTTATAGCTCTCTAGCCACTCATCAACAACAGACTAGGATTGAGTGGAAAAAGCAGAAAACACAAAGCAGGTATATTGGGGGGGAGAGCATCACTCACCCGAGTCCCACCTTCAACTGCCCCCTATGTCCTGATATATCCCGTTTGTGATCTCTGCCCCTTCTGATCTTATCAGCCTCCTACAAAGAAACACTGCCACCAGCTCTGCTTGTACTGCCCCTGTATGCCTTGTATTTCCTCCCAGAACACATGGGGGGGGGGTCCTCTCCCCAATCCCACTGGAAGAGAGGCACAGACACACATCTGTGCAGGGCCTGAGTGCTGGAAAGATGGGAGCAGGCAAGAGCCTCCTGAATATTCTGCATGCAAGAGTTCCTGGGTATTCGGTCTCTTTCTCTCTGTCAGGAAAAAATGGAGGGGGGGGGGAATAGATGGACCATGGCAGGGTGTTGGGTGTTACATGTTAAAAACACTCAGTATATATGGGGTTAAATGTCTGTTTGTGTTGTCACAGGAAATCACATGTTTTTATATAAGCCAATGCTAGTTTAGATCTGCAAGCCCGGGAAAACTATTCCTGATCTAGGAGTTTCATTGGAAGCAAAGTGTCAAAGTGTCTTTGCATTTTATGGCTTCTCTTCCTGTCTTTGTTTGCTGTTTCCAAGAAGAAGTACAGAAGCCATTATCGCCCTTCTAGTGTTGTCCTTTGTAGAGTGAGGATGTAGCTGTTTAGCTGTATTGTTATTTTCATCCCAGTTACCCTTTCCCTATGCTAGGATGTAGTAAAACTTTTCTGTTTTAAACACACGTGGACTTAGAGTCTGATTATTTTACTCTGGCATTGCTAAGCTATTTTAACTCTGCTGAATTACAACTTTAAAAATCCAACACAGGGTGCTGGAAGGCACCTGCTCTCCAAAGGAGAACGTTCGGAGACTAGAGAGCATGAGTCCCTGCCAGAACCCTGGGAGCAGAAGCCCTGCCCACCTCCCTTCCTTCCTGCTGGCAGCAGATTAACACAGAGCGGCCCAGGGGCAGGGCTGCCCACACCTTGCCCTGGAAGCCGAGAAGAAGAAGAAGGAGGAGCCCAGGAGGAGGGCTTGAGCCAGGAGCCCCCAACCAACCGCTGCATGGCCTTGGGGAGGTCGGTGTCCTGGACCCCCACTGCCGGCTTGCGGGAGTGAAGGCCGCCCACGGGCGGGGGGGGGCGGGGGGCACCACCCCCCCTGGCCTCCGGGGGCAGAGCTCTCGCCCCACCACCGCCCCTCCAGCCTCACCTCCGTGGCGCTCTTGCCCAGCCTCAGGGCCTCGAAGAGGTTCCCGGCTCCCCTGGGCTCCTCCTCCTCCTCCTGGGCGTCCCTGCCCTGGCGGGCCTCCCTCCGCAGCCGCTTGGCCCCCTGGAGGACAAGGCAGACGGGGGGGGGAGCGGGGAAGGGGGGGACTGAGCGAGAGGAGCTGCCACCCCCGCCGCCACCACCCTGCCCCCCCCCCCCGTCCCGCGCCCCTCGGCGGCGGC